AGAGCTGGAAAAACCTCGACTCCAGTCTCCATGCTCCCTTCTCCAAGCCTTCTTAGGAAGGGCTTGTTTCTGGAGGCACTGTGTCTAGGGCCCCAGGCCCCATGGACACGGTCACTGTGAGGCTCCAGAAGGCTTGTGGTGTGAAAACTCCTGACATATCGTTGTGCACACAGAATGTCTGGAGTCTGAGACTGGGGGTGATGGTGCAAAGGGGAGGAGATGAAGGCATTTCCCATTCAGAAGCAGGCATCCTGGGACAAAAGCTCGGCTCAGTCACCCAGTACTGGGCAAGGCCACTGTGTGATCAAGCAGGCTGGGGCTGCAATGAGGGGCAAGGGTTAAACTCAGCCTCTGTGCAGACAGTGGTTAGAAGAACACACATTTCATCTCACAGGGTCTGTGGGTCAGAAGTCCAGACACAGCAAACCTGGGACCTCTACTTGTTGTGTGCCCAAGCTGAAACTGAGGGTTCCACGGGGGCTGTGATGGCTTCTGGGGCTCAGGGTCACCTTCTTGGGTAACGTTGCCAGCAGAATCATTCCTTGTAGGAGTAGGAGGAAGTCCAGTTTTCTTTTTACTTATTTATATATTTTTACTGAAGAAGAGTTGATCTGCAATGTTGTGTTAGTTTCAAACATGCAGCAAAGTGATTTAGTTATACATGTGTATTATTATCTTTCAGAATGTTTTCCCTTATAAGTTATTAAAAGATATTGAGTAGAGTTCCCTGTGCTATACAACAGGTCGTTATTTTTTATCTATTTTTCATATAGTAGTGTGTATCTGTTAATTCCAAACTCATAATGTATCCTTCCCTTCTTTCCCCTTTGGTAAAGTTTTCTTTCTGTGTCTGTGGGTCTATTTCTGTTTTGTAAATAAATTCACTTTTTAAATCATTTTTTTGGTAAGATTGTACATATGTGTCTATTTCTGAGACATGTGGCATCATGATACACAGAGGAATAAAAAATTGGATGCAGGTAATGTGCCAACTGACAGAAAAGTTCTTCTTTGAAGACCTCCTTAGCAAGAGATTAGGACTGACACATATACCCTACTATATATATATAAAACGCTTCCCTGGTGGCTCAGAAGGTAAAGAATCCGCCTGCAGTGCAGGAGACCTGGGTTCGATCCCTGGGTCGGGAACATCCCTGAAGAAGGAAATGGCTACCCACTCCAGCATTCTTGACTGGAGAATCCCATGGACAGAGGAGCCTGGCAGGTTACAGTCCATGGGGTCATAAGAGTCAGACATGACTTAGTGTCTAAACCACCACCACCACCATGTATAAAATAGATAACCAACGAGAGCCTACTGTATAGCACAGGGAAATCTGCTCTCTAAGATCTATATGGGAAAATCATCCAAAACAAGAGTGGATATATGTTATGTATAGCTGAACCACTTTGCAGTACACCTGAAGCTAACACAACATTGTAAATCAACTACCCTCCAAAAAAAATTTAAAAAAGAGAGAGAGAGAGACAGACTCCTGCTGCCCTGAGGCCCTATTACATGAATTGGTACTTATAGCCGGCAGGACAGACACTGTTTCACCGAAACTTCCAGCTAGAGCGTCATCTTTTTGTAATCTCAGTGACAGCAGAGAAAATGATTCATGGGTTCACAGATAAGAGAGAAATAGACAGAGCCAGAGACAGTGAACCATTCATGCCTCATCCTAAAGCTGAGAAAACCTCAGTCTGGGGTTGGACATCTCCAAAGACCAAGGTACAAATCAGGCTAGTTCTCCCAGTGCCAGGGAACAATAGAGGCAAGGAGCCCAAGTCCAGGCTGGTGGTGGGGCTGCCAGGCAGATGCTCATTCCTTCTGAACACCAGTGCCCTCCTGCCCTTGAGGGTCTTTGCAACCTCATCTTGGGCTGTTCAAAGTCCTTTCTGGTCCCCTTCTTGGTAAGGTTACTTGGAGCAAAACCATTCCCTGGCAGCTATTTGTTGCATGCTGGGCTCTGTGGGAACTCAGGCATAAACCTGCGAAAAATGAAAGAGCAAGACCCAATGCCAAGAAGACAAAGGAAGAGATAGCATTGTTCACCATGATTAATTGCCAGATGGTCAAGATAAAAACCTCCCTGGAGTTCAGAAGAAGCAGCAATTGCCTCACACTCAGTGCTGAGTCAGAGGTTGACTTGATGAAAATTTTTAGCCTGGATTCAGTCCAAATTATTTTTTTTTCTACTCTCACCACCTTCCATTTCCCCTCCCCTCCAGAACTTCTGGGTGTTTGGAAGTAAAGGTGTTTTCTGAGGAAAGCGTTAAGAAGAACTGTCAGTCTAAACAGGCTTCCAAAGAACAGCAAGAAAGCACCACAAAGTAGCAGTGTCTTAAAGCAATTGTCTTAAAGGAATGCAGGTTTTTCACTTGATAGAGTGCCTTAGTTTCAGCGTGAGAAATACAGAAAATTCGCAGAGTGTGCCTCTCCTCTCATGAGTGACTTCTGTGCAGGTAGAAACAAAATGCTCCATCACTCCCTGTTTGATGGGAGCCAAACTTGAATCCAGCAAAGTTCTAGGCTTGACCTAAACCAAGACTCAGAAAAAGCCCTTTCAAAAGTATTTACTGAGCCTCTATGTAAAACAAGGCAGACGGGAACTTACCTTCCAAGAATTTACAGTTTATCTGCAAAGAAGAAATAACAGCACAGTGTGTTTGGGTTACCTATTGCTGTGTCAAATACCATCGTAAAACTCCGTGGCTAAAAATTTAAAAGCAAAAACGATGCTTTGTTTCTCAAAAGTCTGTGGGTGGACTGGGCTCAGCTGGGCAGTTCTTCTGCTTCATATCCTAGAACAGCTGCATTCAGCTGGGACCCTGGCAGGGAGAGGGGTGGAAGGTCCAAGATGGCCATCATCCTACCAGGGTCTCACATCTTTCAGTAGCCAAGCCTGGGTTTCTTGAAGGTGTGGTGACTGGCTTCCAAGGAGGACGGATCCAAGGAAACAAGCCCCAGGATACAGGTCCTAGCAATTATCTGTATCACTCTGATTAATGTCCTGGTAGTTGAAGAAAATCACACAATCACTCCCACAGTCAGTGTGGGAGGGGTCATGTAAATTTATGCAAATAGGAGGTGTGTTTCTTCTGGGGGGTCACCAATGTAGTCATCCTCCATGTAGTCTAGTAAATAGTATGAAAGCAGTAATGAATACACTAGAGGGGCAACAAACCTCAGATTTAAAGGTTAAGGTGACTTCCTAGAAGAACAGATCTTAACTGAAAGGAGAAGGATCAGGAGGCATGCCAAAGACATCTTTCGTTTTATCTTTATTTCCCAGAAAGCTACTCATAAGGTTTGTGTTAAGTATACTATGCATATAGTTATTTGTCTTTATTTTGCAAGAGTTAATCAACTGTCAGGAGACATAGACATAGCACACTTTTCACAGGGCCAGAGCTGCCAGCAAGACCAACTCAATCTCCATCACGTCTCTCCTATTCACTGTGGGCCCATTTCCCAGCGATTTGACCCTGTCTTTGGATTCTATTGTAAGAATCTCTCAGAAGTAAGCTCTCACAGAAAAAAAACCCAAACGAGCTTTTTGCCCAATACGTGTCAGTGTTTCCTGCTCTCACTTTCCACTTGGTAGCATTGGATGCCTCCAGAGCAGAAATGTTCCTATGTTGATTGTTAAGCCTTAATTCTTTTAAGATTATTATTTCCTGATTCCTCGGCCGCTTTTTCTTGGAACTCTGAACACTTTCCCAAGAATGGTGGAGAAGGCATTCTTGCCCAGGGGAACACTTGAATTGTGGCTGAAACAAAGAGGATGAAGGGGAGAGGCAGTCAGAGTGAAGCAGAAGGGGAGAAGTCATGCAAGGAGGGTCTCATTTCACGAGCCCTTTTGAATCAGAGCTTTATCCTAAAGGAAATAGGAAATCACTGAAAAGTTTGAAGAAGGGGAATGACACAATCAGAATTGCATTTTGGAAAGATCTCCAAGGCAGAGGTGTGGACAATGGATTGGAGGCAGGGAAATCTACCAGAAAGCTGAAGAAATGGTGCCAGAGGTTGACAATAATGTTGTGAACTTGGTAGGGGCCACAGGGATGGGACAGGAAGGAACCAGGAATCCGGAAAGACCAGTCTTCATGATTGACTGGATGTGGGACGTGGGGGTTGGCTAAAGTTTGCAGTCAGCCTCTGGCCTCATGCCTGATGATCTGTCCAGGAAGATACCCTAGATTCTGAATGTATATGGACAGCAGAGATAAACACTCTTTCTTCTTATAGCCCGCCAACCACCACCTCCAGTTATTTCCTTTTGTAGAGGCTCACCCTCCCTCCTTACACAGTGTCTGTCTTAACCCTGGAGTTTCCTAAACAAAAGTCATCTTTAAAATTATTATTTTCTACCATGGTCCTTAAGCATCTCCCAGAGACAACTCTGTTCCATCTTGGCTATGTCAGGTTCACATGGTGCTTTTATCTCATTTTCCAGACAGGAGCGAGCCAAGAGAAATTCCAGAATGAAAATCCAGGATACAGAAAGCAATAAAGGAAGTGCTTTTTCCATAGAACCACTGCTGGTCTGTATGCCCATTCGGTGTTTCTGAAAATGGCACCAACTCTGCTTGGCTGATGCAGCCCCATGGCTTCCATTCTGTGGCTTAGAGCATGGTGGCTGGTGTGATGCACTGGGACAGTGATGAGCACATTCATGAACCCTGCCCTCTGCAGAGGGACGGTTCTTCATGGTCCCTCACATCTCTGTACCTCTTACCAGCAGAGGCACTATACTTTTCAAGGATGTTTGTATGGCAAATAACTTGGGAAAAAAGAGATAGGATCTCCCTTTAGAGAAAAAGGAAGTTTGTACTGTGTCATGTAATAAAGATGACTCCCTTCCAAGGCCAAGGTCAGGTTTGCTGGCAGCCCATGATAAATGATTGGGGGTCCTTAAGCACAGAGGTCCTGAGCTGTGATGCCAGCCCTGTGTGTGTGGCATCAACCTGAACTTGACAGAAGAGGGGAGCTGATGGAGAAGCCCCGTGAGCTGCTTCATCGCGTGTTTCTGACCCAGGAGTCTCATGTCTTCTCCCAGCATCCACACAGTTGCAACAGGTGAGCCAGTGAGCTGGTGAGGAGGGTAAAAAAACACTCAAATCCTTCAGTTTCTGAAACTCCCACAGAGCTTACATTCTGATGGAGGAAGAAAAAAACATGTAAACATGCAAAGCAACTGTGATTCTCAGAATGACTACAGAGAAACAGATCAGAGGCTAAAACAGACAACGTGACTTGTGGTGGGGGTACCACAGTGGGGATGGCCTCTCTGGAGTGGGACCATTTCAAGCATCTAAGGGAGAACTTAGGCAGAACTCATCATGAGGCAGGAGCCCAAGGACCCCAGGCAGTGGAAATTGCACATACACCCTGAGGCCTGTTTGAGAAACAGGAAAAAGACCGATGGGGCTGTGGGCTGGTAAATGAGAGAAACCAGTGTCCTGAGATGAGGGGAGAAGTGGGCACAGCAAGAGCAGCATGAATTCTAGCATGTTATAGGTTTTGGACATTTCTTAAGACTTTCAAGCAGGGAGTGAACTGGCCTGTTTTTTTAATTCAACAATGTTTATATATCTACTAGCTGCAATTCTGGGTTCTGGAGTTGTTGCAAGGAACCAACTGTACATGGAGTTAATATTCTAACTGGAGGGGGGTGGGAAGGACATGATAAGTAAAATGCAGGGACGTTAGGTGGTGGGGAGTGCTGCGGAGGGGCTGCGGGTGGGGGAGCCTAGGTGAGAGCTCGGACAGGTGGCCAGGGGCCCCACTGAGAGGGAGACATTTGGACCCGATCTGAGGAGGGGGCAGAAGGCAGCCGTGGGGTATCTGTGAGGGGGGCCTCCAGGTGAAGGGGACACTGTGAGGAAGCGCACAGATCCTGGGATGGGGCACATCTGACATTTGAGGGTCTAGAGTGGGGTGAGGGCTTCCCAGGTGGCTCAGTGGTAAAGAACGCGCCCGCCAGTGAAGGAGACGTGGCTTCCATCCCTGGGTTGGGAAGAGCCCCTGGAGAAGGAAATGGCAACCTACTCCAGTATTCTTGACTGGAGAATCCCCATGGACAGAGGAGCCTGGTGGGCTACAGTCCGCAGGGTCGCAAAGAGTCAGACATGACTTAGCAACAGAACAACAGAATGGCGTGGGCCGGGGGGTCCTTGTGGATGTGCTCAGAGAGGCCCCAGGGCAGTGCTTTGCGGCCTTTATGAGGACTTGCGCATTGACTGAGCGACAAGAGCCCTTGTTGGACTCCATCTTTGAAAATGAAAGAGGTAGAAACTGGGAGAAAACAAGAACAGTTAGGGAACATCACCGTCAGCGGCATCCTGAGATTCTCAGAGAATTAGGGAGCATTTAAGACAGAGTCTGTTCTGTTTCAATGTTCTGCATTTTCCCTTCAGTAGAGATGATAGGAAGACCAGAAAAATCACCGTCTGTCAGCCTCAGGTAAACGGGAATCGCCCCCTGCTGGCCGACGGCGGGAACGCAGGTATGGCATTTCTCTTGGGGAAGGAACCCTGCTCACTGTGGGATTCCATCATAGCTCAGTCCCTAAAGAATTTGCCTGCAATGCAGGAGATCCGGGTTCAATGCTTGGGTCGGGAAGATCCCCTGGAGAAGGAAATGGTAACCCACTCCAGTATTCTTGCCTGGAGAATCCCCATGGATAGAGCCGCCTGGCGGGCTACAGCCCACGGGGTCACAAGAGTTGGACAAGACTTAGCGATCAAACCACCACTGCCTGGGAGGAGGCGGGGTTCTATTCCTCTTCCCCAGAGACCATCAGATCTACAGGGCAAGTCCAGACAATTGTCTTGGACAACAGACTCTAGGCAGCACCTCTCACTGATTTTCCCTACAGATTAAGTGGGGATCTGGGGTTGATCCGTAGATGCCCCTCCTGCAAGGAGGGCATGAGGGAGTCTTCCCAGGGCAGCTCTGGCACTGAAAATCCTGGTGGGGAGCCCAGACCTGAAGCCCAGGAGAGGACCCCCTTTGCTCAGGGTTTCAGTTCATCCTCTCAGGACAGAGTCCTCCGGAGGAGGAAGGGACCATGCCAGGCTGGATGGCCCGACTCTGATGCCTCTTGTCCCTGTTCCAACTAGCCCAGGAATATCTGCTCACTGACTGTTCCCCCCGACTCCTGCATTGCCAATCTGGGTTCCGGTTCAAGGGCAAAGGTCTCCTTTCCAGGGCCCTGCCCAGGGTTGGAGTCACTGGACATCTTACCACATGTGTCCCCACTGGCCAGTTCAGCTTGTGTCACTGTGGGCCGTGTCCCTGGGCCCACGTGGCTCTGTCCTGGCCTGCTCTGGCCTGCGTGGGAGCACAACTGCGTGCACGCGGGGGTGTCATCTGTGTGTCATCTGTGACAGTGCTGTGTCCACATGTGAGTTCAGGAACACCCGTGCCAGGACTGGGGCATGTTCCCCCCAAACCCATGTGTTGAAGCTCTGATCTCTATTGTGACTGTGTAAGGAGACATGACCTTTAAGGCGGAGATGAAGACTGAATGAGGTCATAAGGGTGGGTGGGGCCCTGACCCAGTAGGGCTGGTGTTCTCATGAGAAGCGGCAAGGGAAAGGGGAGGTAGCTGCACAGGGAAAAGTTTGTGAGAGAACAGTGAGGAGGTGGCTGTCTGCAAGCCCAGTAGGGAGCCAGCTGTAGACACCAGACCTACAGACATCAAACCTGCTGACACCTTGACCTTGGACGTCCAGCCTGCAGAAACTGAGCAAAGAAATGACTGTGGTTCAGGTCTCCGAACTCCAAAAGACTCTGGCATCTTTTGTTACGGCAGATGGAGCAGACTAACACAGTCACGTGTGTGTCAGGATGTCGAACCATGGGAAGCGAGAGAGACAGTCTATTATGAGACATTCTCATTCAGAGTCGGGCAGAGAGGCTGGGATGGAAGGAGAAGCAGGAAACAGGACAGGAACAAAGATTGTCCAATGTTGTCAGGGCCCCCTGTGCCTCCATCTTATGGGTTGCATCCTGCTTCCTTTTTGTAATTGTCATCAGGAGCATGCAGCAGGGCCCAGTGACCCTCTGTGGCCTGCCGTTTGCCAAGAGAACACTCCTCCAGGTCAGAGTTTTCACAGTTCACTCGCCTGCAGTTGGAGGTCTCCCCCAACCCCCCGGCCCTTGGGTAAGCTTTTATGGTCGAGCACATGCTTTCCTGATGGAATTGAACGTGATGGCATAATGGGCAGGTATATGTTAAGCCAGTACTAGGCACAAATATCTCCCTGCATTGTTCAGCCATTGAACAGATAAAAGTGCCCCTTAAAAACAGCAGTGCTGTGCTTGAAATTTTCAAGAGAAGACATGTTGTGTGTGTGTGTGTGTGTGTGTGTGTGTGTGTGTGTGTGTGTGTGTACAATGCCCCCTTCTATCCTCTTTCCAAGATACATAATTAGAGCTTTTGGAAGGGAAAGGGGGAGGAAAATGGTAAACACACAGCCACACCCACACGTGCCCCCTCACCTCTTCAAAGTGATGCCCCTCCCCCAGCCCCAGCCCAGAGACAGCACTTTAGCAACAATACACCTTCTCTAAGCCACTGATGTTGAATCTGAAACTCCAATATTTTGGCCACCTGATGTGAGGAGCTGACTCACTGGAAAAGACCCTGGTGCTGGGAAAGATTGAAGGCAGGAGGAGAAGGGGATGACAGAGGATGAGATGGTTGGATGGCATCACTGACTCAATGGACATGAGTTTGAGTAGACTCTGGGAGCTGGTGATGGACAGGGAGGTCTGGCATGCTGCAGTCCACCAGGCAGCAAGGAGTCGGACACGACTGAGCGACTGAACTGAACTGAACTGAAGCCACGAGGATGCAGCCATAGAGGAATTTGTCTGCAAATTAACGTGTAGACTTAAAACTGAGCCTTCCTGATTGAAATCGGTTGCAAAAAGTTACACTGGGTCAGAGAGAGGAACTGGGAGAGATTTCACTAACGGCCAGAAATGCTTTTCAAAGGCAAACTCTCTCCCCTCAAAGCCATGCAGCCCTACCTTCTTGGAAGTGAACAGTGCTGGAAGCTGGAGGAGGGTCGACACCCCATACCCCAACACCACACACACACACACACACACACACACACACACACACTGCACCACAGGCCTGATTCAGCTCGGGGCCACCGTGTAGCCAGCACCAGCACAAGCGTGCGGCCTCCATACCAAAGAGGCCCCCCAGCACTCTGACCCTTGTTATCAAAAATAGTGGTTCTTGGATGCGACAGCTGGGATGGTTGGAATTGTTACAAGAAATTCCTAGCAGGCCAGGCGCTTCTAGGGGAGCCTGTGAGTTGAGATGGGGACAGATGGAGGGCAAGAAAAATGTTTGAAGAACGCTGTTACTCTCAGCTATCAGCTCCAAGTTCTAAACTGAGAAAACTGCTGCTTGCCTCAGAGAAAAGAGAAGTCCATCCATGAACCCCATGTCCAGGAGGGGGTGGGCATCTCCCCTACGAGGACCTTGAGACCTTTGTACAAATCAAGCTCCCTCATTCCCACAACCATCAGTGGTGAGGCCCCTGCTCTCAGATGCGGTTTTCTTGATACCACCAGTGGTGCCAAAGTCAGCTGCTTCTGTTTGCATCCATCATGCAAACATTGTACCTAAGGGTCAAGGTCAAGGTCAATTCCTGTATCTCTTCTGCTGAGGTTTTTGCCCTTTCCTCCCCCTCCTCACTACTTCTCACTGCCTCCTGCCTCTTTCTCCCTTCTGTTCCCTAAGCCAAGAGTCAGTTACTGAGCACTTCCAGGGTTAAGTGTACAGATGCTCTCATCCGATCATCACAACCACCCTGAAGAAGGAGAGAGAAAGAAAGAAATGTGGGTACAGAGAAGTGCCTACCTGGGCTGAGGCTGCACCGCTCATGTATGTGAAGGTGGAGAATGGAGCTCTGTGAGGTCTGGCCTTATGTCCCTTGCTTCTCTAAGCCTGCACGGCTCCGCACAGCATTTCCAGGCCAGCCCAGAGCACCAGGACAGAGCAGGCATGACTCTGGTAGAGTGTCCTTTAGGGCCCGTGAGTCCCAGGCAGGGCTGTGCGGCCTGATTGCCAACCCTCGCCTCGTGGACTCCAAGCCCCTCCTGCCACCCAGGCCTGGGGTGTGGGAATCCACCGCAGGCCCAGGACCCTGCTTTCCTGGGGACTTAACGCTCAACACCACTGTTAAGGGGAAACACACTGACTGAAACCTCCCACCCTGGCCAGGCACCATAGTAACCATTCGTGTGAGTTATTTTGACAACAGAAAGTCCTGGTAAGGAACACGGAACCAATAAGCCACCACCAACCAAAAGAGTTTAGTAAAGGTCAAAAGGAGATGCCATGAGTCCTACTACCTCCCAGAATCCTTCTGGTTGGAATCCATCTTGGCTAAGCAATGAGTATGTCACCAGAAAAATCCCTGAGTCAGAGTGACTGGCTACAGACAATTTGAAAACTAATCCCATCACCATAAGACCCAAGACCAAGAGCCATGTAGCAGAGCAGTCCTCTTGGGTTCCCTCACCCTCCTGCTCTTGGCCCGAGGGACCCCTTCCCAAAGAAGCCTCTTGCTTTGTCAGCACATGTGTTTCCTTGGACAATGCATTTCTGAGTGTTAGACAAGAGCCCCCCTATCGGGCCCTGGAAGGGGTCTCCCTTGCTGCAACACCACCATCAGCTGCAAGGTTTTGGTGAAATGAACCATAATTCTTCCTACAGAAAGAACAGGGACCCAAACCCAGTCACAAAGGTGAAAGCGGCCCCAGAGAGAAGGAAATGGTGACTTCTAATAAGATCAGACAGAAAGCTGACTCTGCATGTTTTATTAAAAGCTCAGCAGAAACCACCAGCTCTCAGGTGGGAAGAAAGGCCTGGAGCCAGCCCACGTTTGGGACACATCGGTCACTTCCTCACCGGCTCCTCCATCTACACCCTGGTCCTTCCGGCTGCTGGGGGGGTCACAGTCCCTGCTCACAGAGGCCACCGGCTGCCCTGGCCAGCAAGGGCCCGTCACTGAGGATTAGCCAAGATGGCACTCCTGTGATACTGGTCAGAGCCCAGGGCCACACGGGAGATGGAACCCAGGTCAAGGCTGGGCCTGAGCAGAGTTGACGGTTGAATCTTTGTATTGAGCGCTGATTCTCAAATGTACTCAAATTCTTGAGCGTTCAGCTCCCAAAGCACAAAGTCTCCCCAGACGAACTCTGACGTGTAAACTTCTTTTGTTCTCAGTTTACTCCCTAATCTTGCCCACCATCTTCTAAAAGTCAGTGGGAAATGATTTGGGCAACTTCCCTAAGTAGCTCAGAGAGGAGTCACCCCAGGGAGGAAAGTCCAGTGAACGGTGGGGGTCGGGTCACCAGAAGGTCCAACGGGAGACACAGGGATTTTCTCTGATCAGGCTGCAGTTTAGTTCAGTGTGGAGCTCTGTACCAAGGTCACAGAACAAAACTGTCCAGACTTAACCGAGCCCATAGCAA